CCCTTCGTAGAAAAATGTCATATCTATTATCTGAAATCATATGATTGTAATTTTATTCTGAAAATAATGGTAAAAATTCACATACTTTAATATGACATCTTGTTGTAAAATTATTACGTCAAATTCACAGTCGTTAACTCAAAAATTACATAAGTAAAACCTTGATAAGTAAAATTGCTAATAAAATATAAAAAAGCTCACATATAAATATACATTCTCTTCAATTTTTTATTTCTATATTCATCGGTTGTGCTAAATTTTTCTTTTACTGAATACAAATCCAGTTCCCATACACACACTCATTTACTACATTAATATTAATATGATCGGGTTCGATAAAATCATACTTGGAAGATTATTATCAAACGAAAATTTTACGCAAAAACTTTTTATAATTACTTGTAAATAAAATAATTATGGAAGTTACTTTGCAATAATAATATTAATTAGGGAGGAAATAACTTCTGATCTTCACAGAGGAACATAATAGGTGATTAACATTCTAATAAATAAAAATAAAAATAAAAATAAAAACGTTGTTTCTATTTTCTTTGTTTGAAGTGCTTGATAAAAGCAACAAGTGTAGTTAGTGTCTTGGTAAAAGGTAACAATTATGGAACTTTGATAAAAGGCCGCATTTTATTTGCTTTAGTGAGCAAGCAAGCAAAATTAGGACTAACGTTGCTAAAATAGTGAAGTATCGTATCGTCAAAAGGTTAATTGGAAATACTGTAGTATTGTCGTGATCGTTAGACAAGCTACTTAAATTGTTTCGCAAATAAACAAAAGCGAGTTTGCAATCAGCCAATAAATAAATGTAAACGATTGAAATAAATCGATCACAAGTGAGTAAAAGGAACTTTATAGAAGCCCTTTAGTTATGTAAAATGGCAACTTTATTTATCAGTAAAAAATTTATTATTTCAAAATAATTTAGCTTTAAAAACGAAATAAGGATAAAATAAAAAGATATATAACTATAATAGATAAATTTATATTAATTGTTCATCAATTCTTCCTTTTACTACTATTACTAGAATCTAATTAATAATAATTTCTGATTAATTAATAATGAAATTTTTATTCACCTTCAGCATTTAAGAGAAGAGAGTTAAAACCAAGACTATTTAATGAACTATCATTACTTAAGATTTTAGATTTAGCAATCTCTTCATCTAATATTCTACTCGTATGATATGCATTTGGATGTGATTTGTGTACTTGTTGCGAATTACTACCACCACCACTGCTGCTGCTATCATTAAATCTTTTTAACAAACTATTATTACTATTATTATTACTACTATTGATACTACTTCCAACACTATTATTATCATTATTATTATCATAAATTTCTTTTGATATTTCATCAGCTAAATCATAAAGTTCTCTACTAGTTGGTCTTTTTGATGGATCCACATCCCAACACCTCTGCATCATTTGCACATAATCATCAGGCATTTCAGGTAAAATTGGTGGTCGTAAACCTTCATTTATATCAAAAATTAAATGATGATTGTGAGCTCTATCATCAAATGGTGGATAACCTGCAAATATTTCCCGCATTAACATCCCAACACTATAGATATCTGTTTCTTTTGTGTTCTTTTTGCCTCTAAGTAGCTCAGGTGCAACATATGATATAATCCCATAGACTTTATTTGATGATTTTTCATCAACTGGTCCACATAATCCCAAATCTGTAATATAACAACCGCCTCCACTTATTAATATATTACCACTATGTAAATCACAATGGATTAAATCCTTTTCATGTATCCAATATAATGCAATACATAAATAATAAAAGATTGTAATTCTGTCTTTTAATGTTAAATTTAAATGATTTTTTCGTAAATAATTCCTTAAATTTCCTTCAGATAAATAAGTTAAAACTATTGCATAATTTCCATTATCTGGGAATTTGGTTACACCATAACATCTAACAATTGATGTTGATTTAATTTTACAATAATTTATTGCCTAAAATAAATATAAAATCAATTAGTATTATATAACATGGTATTGTTTATTTTGGTTTTAAATGACAACTACCAACCTCATCAAAAAAATGTTTTCCTGGATTATTTGAATTGTTTAAACTTTTTAATACTACTTTTTGTCTTCCAAAATAACTAAAAATTTTTTTATTTTCATTGTAATCATTTATTTGTCCTCTTGTCCATGCAGCAGTGTAAATTGAACTAAATCCACCTTCAGTTAACTTTTTTATATCATCAAATTGCTCAAAAGGTATCCATTCCAAAATATAGTCTGGTAAAGATGATTTCATTTGACATTGTTGAATAAAATCATCAATTATGTTATTTCCAGATGTCCAAATGGTGAAAAGACTCCGTAATTGTAAACTAATACAACCTTCACAGAACCTATCAGAGTATCTTGTCAATTTACACTTGCTACACTCTTTCGGTTTTCCTTTTTTATTTTTTGCATTATTTAATTCAAATTCATAAATAAATTTTTCTTTATAATATTCTTTTTCATTTTCAGAAAGCTCTTTGTTTTTTTGGACTAATGAAAAAAAATAATCTTTTCTACTTTTTTCATCAGAATTAATTACTGCATCGTTATGCATTCCATTATAAATTTTATTTACAAATTCCCTTTTTTCTGGTGATAATGACGATAATAATTTACCATATAACATTATATAAAAAAAATAAAAAATAAAATTTGGTTTTGTGTTTAATGAATAGAGTGGTTGGTTACATTATTTGAACACAAAAGAAAAGGCTGCCGTGTCACGATCTCCTGCCAAAAACTGTAAGTCGTGCTGGGTTTTTGCCGATTGTCTCTTTTACGTCTCTGTTTTTGGCGCGATCAACGTTTTCACTATATTAATATTTTGCAAAAATTTGTCATACGGCAAATGTTTTGCATTTCTTGCGTTGCTTCTCCTTACAATCTAATTTAAAGCATTGCAATGAAAGCATGAAGCATGATCAGAAAAATTCTTTGTGGGAAATATTTGCAGGTTATCCACCATTTGACAATAGAGCTCACAATCATCATTTAATTTTTGATATATGTGAAGGTTTACGACCACCAATATTACTTGAAATGCCTGATGATTATGTGCAAATGATGCGGAGTGTTGGGATTTTTTTTATATAGGAAAGAATTTTTTGTTTTCGATGAGTGGTAATTTCAAAAAAAATAATTTTTTTTATTTTTCTGAAAAAAAAAAAAAGATCTACGTAATTTTTTTTTCGACCACACTTTTTTTCTATTATTAACAAGTTCACAGTGTGAGCTTCTGCTACGCGAGAACAAAATTCATTCATTTTAAATTGGGCTTTGCGTCTTCTTCGCCGCAAAATGCAAAAAAAAAAGACATCACTCGGGCCAAGACAATAGTCTATTTTATTAAATTCAGAACATATAAATAAGACAGCCGTCACCATTTTTTTTTTCATTTTTTCTTTCATAGAAAAATTCCTCTCAGACTATTTCAGCGCACGGAACTCAACTTCCACATTCAGCCATGGCATCTTCAAGCAATCAAGTTTTACACTACGTGAGCACGAAATCATACAAAAACACACGATTCGATCGGAGCATCAAAATTAGTCAACCATATTATCATTTAGCAAAAAATTTATTTATTTATTTTAATTTAACGATTTAGCACGAATAAAAAAAATTACACATATCGTGCAGTGTAACTTTACAATACACGGAAAACATTCTGGCAATAAAAAAGTAAGTGATAAATTGGATCTGAACTTGATCTCCAATTTAGAGAGGTAACTAACAACTATATACTGGTGAAGTTTCAGGAGCAATGGGTTCTATATAACGTTTCGCGTAACAACAACTTCCACTATGCTAAGAAATGTATCATGAGGTAATAATAGGTAACACAGGTGATTATGCATACAAAATTTCCATGATTTTCGAATTTCTTCTACACAAGATAGTAAGTATACTTTATAAAAAGAAATATATATTCCAAATACGACTTGTATTAACTAAAATGCAAAAAATGAATTGCTCTTTATTATTTTTGTATTTCCATTTATACTCGTGTTCTCACCTATTTGGATTCCCTTTTCTGGGTATGTTCTTTAATAAGTAAAATAAATACATATTTTGTGAAAACCATATATACTGATCAATGTCTCTTTAGACTTTTCATTTTATTTAATGCAATTCAGGAACAAAATCCACCTGAAACACTCCAAAGTCTTCTCAAATGAGACAACCGTTATGACCTTGATCAAGCACAAAGGTTTCTTGGTAAAGTTCATAATTTTCTTTGTATACATGAATAGCATAGTTGCAATACATCGTGTTTTTGATGTTTGTTTCCTAACTCATTTGTAGCTCATGTGGGTAAGAACTTCAGGTGGCCCTCTTCAACACCAGAATACCTCAGAAAAACTGCCTTTCAGCACATCACTGATGTTAAGTTTGATCTTGATGATGAGGTCGAATTTAACCTCTTATTTTTCTATAATTTACTTGACAATGGTGAATTTACTGCACATGAAAACGAGCGGGTGACAGAAGGTAATAGAGTATGGACAAAGGTATAGTGATGAGGAATTGTGCCATATTCTTGAAATCATGCCTGGCGCTATCCAACTCCCAGTTGATCAGAAATATTTACCATGTACTCCACCAGCAAAGAGGGTAATTGTTCAGCATACTGGAAATAGTGATGACTACAAGGTTTGGATATGGATCTAAACATAGGTTTTAGAGAATTGTTTTATCTTATGAAATTGTATTTTAGTAAAAGAATATATTCATGTAGTTTTTCAAGTTAGTAATTTTTTCGAATAAAGGTCAGAGTCCATGTCAAAAGCCTAATGAAAATTTAATTGCTCAACTTGAGCACAATTTTTATGATATATAAAATAACAACATCATGATGTGTATCAAAGCACTAATAAAGAACTTATAAAATAGTTTAATAGTAATTATTTTAAAGGTTTAAACGGACCCTATATTTAATGGGTATTAGTATTTTGCTACAATTGGCTAATGCTCCCACTGATGAATCTTGCAAGACCAGAAAATACTTCCTGATCATTAATTCGACCGGTTTTTTCAGGACAACTTTCACCACGTTTCTTAGCATAAGCTAGGGCTTGATATAGATTCCACTCTTTCCAAGCTGATGGCTTTTATAGGGGCCAGTCCTATTTCGAAGAACCCGGAGCTCTAATAAGACATTTTTTAGGTAATCTAGAACTTTTGGTAAATGCTTAACCCATGCTCTAATTAATTTTGGGTTTGAAGGTATAGATTCGACAGCATATTGGGACTTTATATAATATCACTGCAAGTGTTTTATTAAATCTTTCCATGATTGTGAGTCCCGAATGGGAATATAGACCAATTACTCGAATTGTGACATTATTTTCTTGCATTAATCTTGAAGTTTCGCCCATAAACTCTCTGCCACCATCTACCTGGAGCAATTTAGGCCAGGTAAGAGGATTTTCATAAATTTTCTTAAAAACTTTAGCAACTTCTGAACTATTTTTAGAAGTGAGTGAAATAGCATATTTAAATCTACTGGCGATATCTACAATAGCAAGTACCCATTTATATATTTTTTTACCTACTATATCATTAGTGAGGTGTAAAATAAATTGGAAGAAGCAAATAATTAAATAACTTTTGCTTTCGTTTGATGTTATTAAATTCGGTTTAAAACTGGTTCTGATTTGAGAAGGTAATTAAAACCAGTTCTTGAAAATAAAACCTCTAGCTAATGGTGATCATCACCAAAAATATTAAAAAGTCAAAATATTCATTAACAATTCAATGTAGTTTTTTTCTAATTTTTATTATGTAAATGCTTGAAGATCTGACTGGTGTTTTAACGAGATCACTACCCACTTTTCTCAATACCAGTTCAATTATAATTGTCCGAGCCCTGGTGAAGTTTTAGGAGCAATATAACATTTCGTGTAACAACAAACTTCCACTATCAGAAATTTTTTTTTTTAAAAAAAACCTATATAATAGGTCATGTCTAATTCTAACAATAGTACTAAAACCAATGATGAAATATCCACTGGTCACTCAGGTAAATGCAATAATCACCAGTTCAAACAACAATAAGATAGAGACTAATTATATATCTTCCTTGATAGCTCTCATAACTACTTGGAAAAAAACTGAATTCTAAACATTGATCATACTTAAAATTTTTTGAACTAAACCGTGCTGTTATCGTCGATGTGCCACCATTTGTAGATGATTGGAGTGGTCTTGGTGGTGTGTGGTCTAGAAGATTTCTGCAGGAAGTGAATGCACTAAGCCCAATGTTAAATAATATTGTAAAAAAGATGTTAATATTATTTTAATTTAATTAGTGAAAAGTGAGCTTCATATTTGTTATCCACTGGATCTGGAGTATCAGCAATCTTTCTGACCCAATTGTTGATGGTGGAAGCTTTTGATTCGTTATCTACCAGATCTGAAGTACCAGTAATCTTCCTGATCCCCATCTTCGCATCTCGCTTTGTTTTGTTTCTGTTTGGATGATTGAGATATTAAAACAGTTAAGAATGTAACCTTCTAACAGTCTAATATATTTCAAAAGGTGAATTCAGAACATGCTGACTCTACCTTGTGCTATTTTTGGTCTGAGGTGATATCGGATAGGAAACAGGTAGGCTATGAGTGAATACTACTGGTTTTTGGGCTTGTAAATGAATCCTTCTGAAGGAAATGCCTATAATCATCATAATAGCTTAGGCTAAAGAATATTCTTGATACAGAAAGTCTTGAATTGTTGGGTGGGGTGAGCAAATTTCAATCACAAAAAATCTTTACCAATTACAATGACCAGGTCCTGAAATTAGTGTATGATAAGTGCTCTCATGATAGCACCTTAGATTTTGAGGACACAAATTCAGTTACTACTGAGATGGCCAAAAAGGTTGGCATATATAATAATTAGTCTACATAATCTACATTAATTTCGTTTCTCAAAACTTACATTGTTGATATGCACACAGATCAAAACCAATAAAAATGAAAATGAAGATGTGTATTATAATTTGGGAGAAGATGATGAGAGTGAAATCACACAGGTATTCTGACATTTGCTACCTAATTTTCTAAGGCAAGATAGAAATTCACAAAAAGTTACTTTCCTCCAATGGTTGAAATATTTATAACTAACTATATTAGCATGAAAAAATTAGCAGTTGTTACAATTGTGCGTGCTAACTTTAAAATTTTTAATCTCAGAGTGAAAAAAAATACAATTGGATTTCGTAGAGATTCCATTGAATTGGCACCTTCTCCTCAAGAACAATTAAATTTTTTACGTCAAATAAAAGAAAGTACTTCTAACATCTGTAAGAATTGTTGTTCAAAAATCAATCACAATGAATTAATAAATGATGATTTGTCTGATGATTAATTAGATGAAAAATGTAATAAAATAATTTCAACAATGATTACAAAACCAATAATTTTAATAAACTAATCTTATTGGAACAGGTTAATTGAAGCAAACATAATAAACATCAGTGTAAATAATACTCTTGCAGAGAAGAGTCTTTTCTAAAGATTAAAAGAACAAGCTAAATCTATGCCATTTCCCCAGGTTAACATTGATGGGCTTAAAAATTGGTTCAAAAAAAAATGATTATATATATATATTATTAACAAAGAAAAAAGATTTTAACATTTGCCATGTCATGATCTCCTTCCAAAACTCGCAAGTTGTGTGACTTCATGCAGTTTTCTCACCGATTGTCTTCTTTTGTGTCTAGCCGTGCCTGGTATTTTCAGTTTTTGGCACAATCAACGTTTTCACCATATTTAGCAAAAATTGTGTCATACGGCAAATGTTCCACTTTATAAAACAGGTTGCAATTGAAACCGAAAAATCTTTGTTTTTAAAAAAAAAGTCAATCTACATAATTTTTATTGCAAAGAAAAAAAAATTTTTTGATCCACGTAATTTTTATTGCGAAAAAAAAAAATACAAAGAATAATAAAAATTATTCAGTGTCACAACTCTCATCACCGTTGTCGTTTACCACTGTTTCATTTTCATTATTATTTTCAAATGTTGTACGAAATTTCTACTGCATCTGTATAACCTTTAATGTTGCTGACAACTTCATTCATTGTATGTGTCAATTTCGTTGCTCTTGATGTGCTTGATTCTTCCTGTGAGTCATGGTCTGGAATTCTTGCTGTTGGAACTCATAAAGTGTTCCTCAAAATCCTGATGTTTGGATTTTAATGCTTTGCGTGGGGATTTCTTATCATCGTTGTTGTTGGTCTTTTCAACCCTTGGGTAGGTCCACTCGATTTCGCTTTATCAATTATTCAAATAATTATATAGGCGGGCTTGGTAGAAGTGAGTGTTAAAGTCAAGATCTATTTGCAAATCAAGTTTCCAAAATGAACGTTTATTATTATAGACGGGTTTGATCAAAGTAAGTAGCTGTTTGTAAAATATATTTAATTAATGTTTTATTATTACCAATTATTCAATAACTATATAGGCGGATTTGATCGGTCAAGATCTATATAATTAGATTGTTAATAGCTAATAATGGAATTTTATTACATGCAAAAAAAATTTTTTGAGTTGTTTGATTTTTTCATTCATCGTTCATGTTTCCTCTTGATCGTATATCTTAAATTGGTCGCATTTACAATCATTTTGAAATTTGTTATATTAAGGTTATTTTGATTATATCAAGAGATATGGTCAAGAGAAGAGTTAGGAAGAGAATTATTCTTCAACTAAGTCGAAAACCAACCCTTTAAATACATTTTCAAGTAGTACGATTTAATTTATTAGACTATTTCAAATGGTTGCTTCCAACTTCTTAAATTCGAACCATTTGTTAACGAAGCAACTGTGTAATTTTTTCATACATCGTTCATGCTTTCTCTTGATCATATATCTTAAATTGGTCGCATTTACAATAATTTTGACATTCGTTATATTAAAGTTATTTTGATTATATCAAGAGATATGGTCAAGAAAAGAGTTAGGAATAGAGTTATTCTTCAACCAAGCCGAAAACCAATCCTTTAAATACATTTTCGAGTAATATGATTTAATTTATTAGACTATTTCAAATGGTTGCTCCAACTTCTTAAATTCGAACCATTTGTTAACAAAACAACTGTGTAATTTTTTCATACATCGTTCATGCTTTCTCTTGATCGTATATCTTAAATTGGTCGCATTTACAATCATTTTGGAATTCGTTATATTAAGGTTATTTTGATTATATCATCAAGAGAAGAGTTAGGAATAGAATTATTCTTCAACCAAGTTGAAAACCAACCTTTTAAATACATTTTCGAGTAATATGATTTAATTTATTAAACTATTTCAAATGGTTTCTTCCAACTTCTTAAATTCGAACCATTTGTTAATGAAACAATTGTTCATGAAGTGATTGTTGACAAAATGAATCAGACCCACATTAAATGTTTTATTTTTAAATTCACAATTTTAATTGGTCAATTGCGTGGGTTAAAATTTTGTGTTACCAGAACAGTCTCTCCTGTAATAATGTTGTATAATAATAACGAACAATTACACAGTGTATCTCGGTTTAACGGATCTCGATTTAGCGGATTTAGGGGTTTAACGGATAAATTTTCAAAACCAAATTCTTCTATAATTATTTTATCTCGATTTAACGGATTTAACGGATTTTTCATATATATTCGATTTAGCGGATTTTTTTTTTAAAAATCTATATGTTCGACCATAATAAAAATATCTCGATATAACGGATAATGTTGATCATTAACTAATACAGGCACCAAACATAATTAATGATGAAATTCGAATTTATTCTAAATTGGAAAATAAAACGTATGATGTAAATTTTTGATAGATTTGTAATAAACTAAAAATATCTCTTCATAACCAAACAGATCAAAATTATTGATATAATAATGATATCAGGAAGTTTCTCTGATGTAATATAATATGATGTCTCAGTTTCCTAATGATTTGTAATATTTGATGTTTTTATTTAAGAAATTGAAAGTGTCTTTATAACCAAATAGTTATAATAAACATAACATCAGGAAATTTTTGTGATGTAATAGGGTTTATGTATAAAGTCAGAAAATTTTCATGATATATTTGTAATAAAACCGATTTGTAATAAATAATATGAATAAATCACTTATATAAAGGAGTGGTATTCCAATTGCTTGTAACAAAAATCAAAAAACCTTGTAATAACAAAATTAAAAATGTCTTCACAAACAAACAGACCAGGAGAAAATCTAAATCAATTGCCTAAAGTAAATAAATTAATCAAATATTTGTTAAATAAAATTCATCAAAATTAATTGATTCTCATTTTAAAATCATATAGAAAAGAAAGATATTGACTAAAATACAAAAAAGAGAACTATGCGAAAAAAAAAGAGATAATCCAAATATTAAAGGCATTGACTTGGCCCAAGAATATGGGATATCTGTACAATCTGTTTTGGATATATTGAGACAGTCTTCTCAATGGTTAAATTATGATGAAAGTTCCCCAAGTAATGTTAATCTGTATAGAAATAAAAAATCTGATTACCCTGATGTTAAAGAAGCAATGAGAATCTGGGTTGACCAACTTTTAGCAAGAAATTTAACATTAAGTGGTTCCATTATGCAAGAAAAAGCCATAGAGTTTGCTAGACATTTCGAAATTAATAATTTCAATGCTTCTTTAGGGTGGCTAGAAAAATTTAAAAATAGAAATAATTTGCATAGTTTTAAAAAGAGGGGTGAATCATTGAGTGCTCCTATCAATGAAATTTCTAGCATGCAAAACGAACTTCAAGAAGTCCTACAAGAATATGACCCAGAAGATATATGGAATTGTGACGAAACTGCAATATACTGGAGACTAGAGCCTAATAAAACAATTGCCCATGCACCAACCTTAGGAAAAAAACGTCCTAAAGATCGTATAACTGCTATGCTTACTTGCAGTTTGACTGGAGAAAAGCTACCTGTGCTTTTTATCCATAAATACGAAAACCCATGACCTTTGAGAGGCATTTCCAAAAATACACTTCCAGTATGGTATTACTGGAATGCTAAAGCATGGATGCAAAGAAGCATTTTTAAACATTATTTAGAAAGATTCAATAGTATAATGGTTCAAAAGAATAGAAACATAATCTTGCTCTTGGATAATGCAAGTTCTCATAATACCGAAAATATACCTTCTTTATCTAATATACGAGTTCATTTTTTCCCTCCTAATACTACATCTATCCTGCAACCTCTAGATCAGGGAATAATCTATAGTTTAAAGGTAATTAACAAAATTTTATTAATAGTTCTATCTAACACATTAATTTTAAAATTTTTTATCTTTGCAGTCAAAATACAGAAAAATCCTTTGTCAAAATAGAATTAAGGCCTACCAAGAATCAGAGAATGATCAAGTACCAGATATAAATATTTTCGATGCTATTAATTTCATATCTAATGCTTGGAATCAAGTAACAGTTGAAACAATTAAAAGTAGCTGGAATAAAACTAAAATTATTAATTATAATAGTTCAGTAGCTGAAGATTCAAACCAAGAATCGGAAATAAATGAAATAAATGATTTAATCAATGAACTCCCCTTTACAGATCATCTAAATGCTGATGAATTTATCACCATTGATCAAAATCTTGTTGTTCAAGAAGAAATGACAGATGATGAGATTGTGAAAATTGTAAAACAGCGATCAGAGAATGAAGATGACAATGAAACAGACGAACCTGAACCAATAGTTACTGGTACAGAAGCCATAAAAGGTTTGGAAGTGGCACTTAAATATGTTCAACAAAAAAATTTAGAAATTGATTTTCAAATAATTAAAAGTGTCAATAAATTGAAAAGGGAAATTTCTCATAAAAGTTTTCAAGAAAAAGTACAAACAAGGATGGAGGATTATTTTATGAATGAATAAATTATTTATTATTATACTTATTATTGTTACCATGTATATTTTATTTGTCGTATGTATTATTCATTATTTATTTTATTGTGATAAATAAATATTAGTATTAGTATTATTGTACAACGTATCACGTGATTGTTTCATCATATCTCGGTTTTGCGGATATCTCGATTTAGCGGATAATTTTTTTGGAACGAACTTATCCGCTAAACCGAGATACACTGTGTATTTCATGTGGCCAAATGTAGAAGGTTGAGTTCCATGTACTGAAATGCCCCAAGAGGAATTTCTCTACGAAAAAATAACAAAAAAAGAAAGTTTGGATGGCTGTCCTATTTATATGATTCGAATTAATAAAATAGACTATTGTCTTGGTCCTAGTGATGTCATTTTTTTGGAATTTTTATTCTCGCGTAGTATGGTATGTGTGTTTTGTAACACGAAAAGCAAAAGCTCACATTGTGTTCTCAGTTATAAGCTTGTTATTCTGTGCAAATTACTTTAAAGAAGGTATCTGTTGCAAATTCCCATTTTTTTATTAAGCAAATAGAGTCTAATATTTTCACCAATTATAATTTATATATTATAGATCAATATTATGTAAAAAGCTCAATTTTTGGTCAGATGACCCCAGAAGTGAACTATGACCCAGCAAATTTTCTTTCTTTTAATAAAAAAATTTATGCAAATAAATCAATAATTATTATTCGTCAATCATATCGAAATCATATATACTACAATGCAATTTCTTAAATAGGAATAAATAGGGAAATTCTTGCTCCTAATAAAAAAAAAATGAATGAAGGTATTTTTTTCTTACACTGAAAATAACTATTTTAAAAAATATGTACAGTGAACCCTCCCTAAGTGCACCCTCCGTAAATGCACACACTATGTACACCTCCATAAATGCACGGCTCATCCCCAGGCTTATAGAGCTTATAAAATCATCCTCCATAAATGCACACCCTCCATAAATGCACGCTCATAAGAAATAGCACTATGTTCCCAAGGAGGGTGCACTTATAGAGGGTTCACTGTAGTATTTTTTACATCATGATTTAATATTTTGCTTTATAATAAAATAATACTTAGCTAAATTCTTTAAAGGTAAATAAATATTTTACAACACAATAAACATCACCTAATTAAATGATTTGTTTTTTTATTTCTTTATAATAACCAGGGGGTAAGTATTATATTATAATTTAACTTTTACAACACAAAATAAA